TTTTTTTTTTTTTTTTTTTTTTTTTTAATCGTAAACACATATTATGAACTTATTATTATGTGTTTAAATGACAATAGAAGATTCAAGAGTTCGAAGTTCGAAATTCGAACCCTTTTCGGTACAACAAGTTTAGTGCTTTTTTTTTGCCGACGAGATAGATTGGCATGACGGACGGCATACACACACGTGTGTGTGTGTGTGTCAAGACCCATGCAACCTACTCTGTTAAACCCTAAAGAGGCTAAACCCTTCTTTGTCCTCCGTTCTGTTAAACCCTTCAGGCCAGAGCAGAGCCTGCCTTGGCCCCAGTTTAATTTGCCGCATGGGGAACCCAGCAGGGCCTAAACCCTTTGCGGCATGGGTAGACTTAGACTTTGAAGAGGCGAAGAGGCTGTTGAGATGAGGTCGTGGTCTTGGTGTCCTGCTGGGTTCCCCATGCAAGTCTGACGGCTGAGGGTGTTGCCCATTATAGCCCCCAGTTTAATTTCCCACTGCCTACATGGCAAGCAGTCAAGCAGCACTGCGAAAAAACTTGCATGGCAAGCCATTGCAACCTACTCTGTTAAACCCTAAACCCTTTGTCCGTCGTCCTGAGCAGCCTTCAGGCCAGAGCAGAGCCTGTCTTGCCATGCAAGTTTTTCACCGCGCTGCTTGACTGCTTGCCACGTAGTTTGGTAACCTTGTCGGTGTTGCTTTGTGCCTTGCTGCATTGCTGCCTTGCTGCCTTGCCGCCCATCTGCACTCCTTCTCGTTCCGCGTGTGCGTGGGTTTTATTTGTGTGCCGTGTAGTTTGGCCACGTTCGCAGCGCTGCTCTGTGTGTGCTCCGTGGTGTTGTTGCCTTGCCACCGTCAGCGTGTGCTTCCGTTCCACGCAGCTTAGTCTTGACGTTGTGCAGTTTAGGGTTGTGTCGGAGTGTTTTCTGGTGCTTCGCTGATAGGTTGCCGCTTGCGGTGTTTCCCTTGATGAAATCAAACTAACAGTTTTACTTGTCCGTCTGATTTCAACAAGGGTCAAAAGGGTTCACGGGCCAAAGCATCAATATGGGGATTCGGCAGATTGTCGAGGGTTCAGCCTCCAAACGAGTTGGTGCAAGTCTGACGAAACAGTCTGTGTCATAATCAATTTCCAATGCTTTTTTTTTTTTCTCGCTTGGCACTGTGGGCAGTTCCTGTTTTTGATGATGCAACCCCTGCTGCAACAGGGAACACAATCCAAAAATAAGCATGGGTTATATCAACAGGAAACCGGGTGAACCCCTGAACAATCACTGGTGCCACGATCACTATGGATAGTATGGAATTATGCCCCGGGCCCACTTATAGGCCATGGTCTGAGCGCCTGTATACAAAGCTAACGGACGGTCGATCGGTTAAATTGACTATTCGAGTATTCGACCGACTGCCAATCAAACTGCCTCATTGCTATCTTTAGATCTGCCTCTCTATGTCTTCACCCATCTCCCTGTCTCCTTGTCCAATTCGCTACCTGATCATCACTGGGTAGCAATCTATCTACCTGCCTGCATATGTCTGCCCATCTGTCAGACATCAGAGAGAGAGAGAGAGAGAGAGAGAGAGAGAGAGAGAGAGAGAGAGAGAGAGAGAGAGAGAGAGA